GCCGCGGCGCGCTGGGCTTGCCAAGGGAGCGGGAAGCACCCCGGTCCCGGCGCCCACGGTGCCGGCGCAGGCAGCGCGTGGTGGAGGCCCCAAGCACCAAGCAAGGGCGGAGGCTGGCGAGGTCGCTTAGCTTGGTCCTTGGAAAACACCCCTCCGTTGCAGACAGGTGTCTACACATATATACAAACACATACATATGATACCTCCCTTGCAGGTGTACTTTCCTAAAAGACACACGTGAACACAGCCCTGATTGTGTGCACAACGCGGCCGAGTGTCACCCAGCACAAAGCAGCTTGGTTTCTTTTTAGGTGCATTTACCCATATGCGAGGCAGAGGTCTGCATGCAGAGCGAACCCTCAACATCCTGAACTTCCTTGTTGTTGCTGCTGGTGGTAACTGAGCTGCGCACACGTTCATACACCACAGAAATGGAATAAACGCTGTTCTCAAGTCACCAGCCCCGCGACTCTCAAAAACCAGTGTCACAGAGCACTGGCCTTCCACCCCCGTACCGGGAAGCCGTGTTCTCATGTAACGCACTGCCTCTTAAAGAGGGCTCCTTGGCCCCATTTCCCGGGTTCGGGATAGAGACCGTTCATACCCGGCTGCCGGCTGCAGCGGGACGGAGCGGGGAGCGCGGACGGCCAAAGCGTGTCCCTGCGGAGCCCCGCATCACGCGAGCGGTGGCTGCAGCCGCGCGGGTGCTGAGCAGGAGAGCAAGGGGCAGCGGGGAGGCCGCGGCCTCAGGGAACGGTCTTGGGAAATATACATCTAATTTCTCCCGTCATTGTTTGGGAGTTTCACTCTAATCCCGGGCATGGGTATTCCCCTGCCAAGGAGGAATGGGCATTAGGAGGCTTCCTACTGACCAATAATCCTCAGAGCAGGGTTGAAATGAGGATAATTACGGGAACAGGACAAAGGAAAATGCATCATGAGAAAAGCACAGCCAGATGCAAGCAAAATCCTCAAAACTAAGCTCGTAACCAAGGCCATATGCAAACCGCTATTTCCAGGGCTATCCTGACTGGCTTGCTGACACCCCCGTCCCTGCATTGCCGGGTTTCCCACCTCTCCCTTGGTTTTAGAATGACTGCAGCTGAGGCGGCCTCGGGGCCGGGGTGTCGCTGTGGCCCCTCCGCACTGCCTTCAGCACCGGCTCCTTCTCCCC